GCGTCAACTTCAGTAGGTCGGTAAATGTTTCGTCTAATAAAGTCAGCGTTGTAGTTGTTTTTGTGAAAAACACGTTCAAGGTATCTGTTTTCGTCGCGGAAGCTGTCCGGTGTGTCACAAACTAGTTGCGCTCGTCTCGTCAACCGTGTCAAAAATTATTTTAAAACTTTGCCCAGCAGCAAGAAAGTACGGGCATCAATAAAAGATATCAGTGACAACATGTTAATTTAGCATTGATTTTTTGTCTATGAAAATACTGACAAACCTAACTATAAATTTTCTATAACAATAGCAGTGCACACTAAACAGAGGCTTTCAAAATTCTATTTTATACGTAACTAAAATATGCTTGAGAAGACTGTCCTTTGATAACCTTGGCCAGATCCTAAATTCTACTTTCTACTCTTCCTTAGTATTGACAAGGTCGTTTATTCTCATAACTTGCTCTAGAGAACTGTAGTGGAATAGTAAGGAGAAATCAAACACCCATCGCTGGGGAGAGGCAGTTGATTGTAATAGTGCTAATGTAACCGATTGTTTTGATCTAAGTCCCTATTCATGCAAACTCTATTAACTTCTCATTAATGCATTCACGACCGATACTTGAGAGGTAACATATAATTGGACATAAAGCATTTCTGGCAAAGCGTCTCTACAACTACCAGCATAAAGGCTGCCTTTTGGTGTGTCTCAGTGGTATATTATTCACTTAATTCTGAGAAACACAACAGGAAGAGACTACGCTGAATGTCAGCAGTCTTCGCGATGTGATCCTATCACAGGTCATACTAACCATAACTCTAGCAGTCTGCTGGTTCACACGATGTAGCGATTTTCTAACGATATAACACTTAAGCTTTTAGTTGTACTCTGCAGACTACCATGAATTCCCTTCATTTGTTACACTTCCGTTCTCTGTGTTGTTCCCTCGTCTTTCGCTTGATTAATATCTACTGTTTGTTTCACTTCATCTCATCTAAGGCATCCTGGCTCGTTCAATTCAGTGGTATTCTCCGCTTTCGATGCAGCGTCCTCTGTTCCACAATCACTGGGTCTATCCTGTACTGGCTGCTTCTCGCTGTTCGGCGAAGACTTTTCTTCGAAATGGGTTTCGTCTGATGTTTTACTTGGATTGCCATTGCCTCCTTCATCCGATTCGGCGGCCGTCTCCTTTGAAATGTCTTGTTGACGCTGAAATTGGTCCTCTCCACTGCTGAGAGGGAGACCATCTGTTACAGGTTTCTCCTCTCTATCAACTTTGATTGGGTCTGCTGGTAATATCGTTTCCTGTCTGCTGGCATCTTCAGCCTGTGTTTCATCAGTGGCAGCCTTACCTTCTACCACGTCACCTCCACTGTCATCTTCATGAGGCGTTTGCTTGTCTAACTGAGAAGCAACATTTTGGTTTTCCGGAGTGTGTTCACTCAAATTCCCCTTTTGCGTGAAAGAACCAAAGCGGACTGTAACTCTCGAGCTTGAATTTGATGTCTGGCTAAACGAACTAACGAAGGAACTCGACTTTGAATCACCTTGACTTGCTTCCGCTGAGCCAAATGATAATCCAGAACCGGAAGATCTAGTCTGATTGAATGAAAACCCCGTACCAGTAGATAGTGTAGACGATCCAAATGAAAACGCTGAACCAGAAGATGGTGTAGAACCCACAAATGAAAACGATGTCTCCATACCTTTCTTTTGGTCTTGTCTTGGCTGTGCTCCTGGTTTCAGACCACCACAAGCTGCACACTCAACTTTATCACTGTCGTTTCTCACCATGCAGATG